GATAGACAGAGACATCAGTGGAATACAATTTAGAGTAGGGAAATAAACCTATGTGTTTATGATCAATTGATTTCAACAAGGGTGCCATAGCCATTTGATGAGGAAAGAATAGTCTTTTCAACAAATAATGTTGACACAATTGAATAGCTAATGCAAAATAATAAAGTTAGGCCTTTGTCTCATACTATGTACAAAAAACAAACAAAACTCAGCTGGATGCAGTGGCTCACATCTATAATCCCAGTGTTTTGGGAGGGCCAAGGTAGGAGGATCACTTGAGGCCAGGAATTTAAAACCAGCCTTAGCAAGGTAGTGACCCCATTTCTACAAATTTTTTTTTTTTTTTTTTTTTTTTTTGAGTCGGAGTCTCGCTCTGTCGCCCAGTCTGGAGGGCAGTGGCACAATCTCAGCTCACTGCAAGCTCCGCCTCCCGGGTTCACACCATTCTCCTGCCTCAGCCTCCCGAGTAGCTGGGACTACAGGCACCTACCACCACGCCCGGCTAGTTTTTTGTATTTTTTAGTAGAGACGGGGTTTCACTGTGTTAGCCAGGATGGTCTCGATCTCCTGACCTCGTGATCCGCCCGTCTCGGCCTCCCAAAGTGCTGGGATTACAGGCTTACAGGCTTGAGCCACCACACCCGGCCTACAAAAAAACTTTATCTAGGCATGGTGGCATGCACCTGAAGTTCTAGATACTACAGAGGCCAAAGGGGAGAATCACTCGAGCCCAGGAATTTGAGGCTGCAGTGAGCTATGATCATACCACTGTGCTCCAGCCTGGGTAACAGAGAGAGACCTTGTCTCAAACAAACAAAACCTCAAAATGGGTCACAGGCCTAAATGTAAGAGCTAAAACGATAAAACTTACAAGAAAACAAAAGGATAAATCTTCTTGACTTTCTATTGACAAGGGATTCTTAGGTATGACACCAAAAGCACAAATAACAAAAGAAAAAATAAACCGAACTTCATCACAATTGAAAACTTTTGTGCTTCAGTGAACACTGTCGAGAAAATGAAAAGGCAACCTGTATAATAGGAAGAAATATTTGCAAATCATATATCTGATAATGGAGTCATATCTAGAATATACAAAGAACTCTTATTACTCAATAATAAAAAGACAACTTAATTTTAAAATGAACAAAAGATCTAAATAGACATTTCTCCAAAGAAGATATACAAAAGCACATAAAAAGATGCAGATGCCTGACATGAGGGAAATGCATATGAAAGCCACAATGAGATACTACTTCACATCCACCAAAATGCCTAGAACCAAAAAGTCAGGTAATAACATGAATTGGCAAGGATGTGGAGAAATCAGAACTCTCAGGCACTGCTGGTAGGAATGTAAAATGGTGCAGCCACTTTGGAAAACAGTCTGGTAGTTCCCCCAACAGTTAAAGAACAGAGTTACCCTATGACCCAGCAATTCCACTCCTGGAAATACCCAAGAGAAATGAAGACATATATGTCCATACAAAAACTTGTACATAAATGTTTATAACAACATTACTGATAATAGCCAAAAGGTGGAAACAACCCAAATATCCATTAATTAATACAATGGAATGTTACTTAATCCCTAAAGAATCACTGAAAAATTAAGAAATAGAGTTCTTTTTAGGGGGGAAATTTAAATTATGCGCTTAATAAAAACTATCACCAAAAAATTCAAGAAAGGGGAAATAGAGGGAGAAAAATACATGTGCCATATAGAATACAACAAATGGCAGACATAAATCCAACCATATCAAAGACTACATTAAATGCGAATGGATTACACGCCCCAATAAAAAGGCAGAGATTATCAGACTGGATTTAAGAAAAACAAAAACAAACAACAACAACAACAAACAGGCACAGTGGCCAGGCTCAGTGGCTCACACCTGTAATCCCAGCACTTTGGGAGGCCGAGGCGGGCAATCACAAGGTCAGGAGATCAAGACCATCCTGAATAATACGGTAAAACCCCGTCTCTACTACAAAAATACAAAAAATTAGCCAGGCATGGTGGTCTGGATCTGGGTGGTGGTTACTTTGGTGCGTTGATGTGTTCCGTGAATAAGAATATATTAGACCAGGCGCGCAACACTCTGGGAGGCCGAGGCAGGTGGATCACAAGGTCAGGAGATCAAGACCATCCTGGCCAACATGGTGAAACCCCATCTCTACTAAAAATACAAAAACTTAGCCGGGTGTAGTGGTGCGCACCTGTAATCCCAGCTACTCGGGAGGCTGGGGCAGGAGAATCGTTTGAACCCGGGAGGTGGAGGTTGCAGTGAGCTGAGATCATGCCATTGCACTGCAGCCTGGGTGACAGAGCGAGATTCCATCTCAAAAAAAAAAAGAAAAAGAAAAAGAAAAATAATATATTGAGCTGTACAATTATTATTTGTACACTTTTTTGTATATAATTTTATCCTTCAATAAAAGTTTTCTTTAATAAAAGCAGCTAGATTCTCTTTTTAACTCTGAGCAATCAGGCAGCTGTCACTACTCACCTTATAGCTTTTCTTTTTCTTTATATAAAATATAATTATTTGGGGGCAATAATATAAATAATTTTGTATATAAACAAATACAATATTAAATTTACCATAATCCTCTCTTTGTGGCATTTATCATTATTGATCCATGCCAGGTCCCTCTTTATATTTTTTGATCTCCTTTTTGAAATCTCCAACTCCATTTCTCTCCCTCATAAGTATCCACTCTTGCATATTTAATGAATGACTTTGTAATTTATCCTCCACACTTCTATTCACACATAGTTGTACCCATGAACAATATTCAGTATTGCAGTTCTTGTGAGATTTTAAATATTAAAGACTTGGGTTAGACATCTATTCAACATTGTTTTTTATTTCTGAGTCAAGTAGATCGTGTCTATTCCTACTAGCAGCTGTAGAGTTTTACATGTATATACTATTTCTTTTTTTTTTTTTTTTTTTTTTTTTGAGACGGAGTCTCGCTCTGTTGCCCAGGCTGGAGTGCAGTGGCCAGATCTCAGCTCACTGCAAGCTCCGCCTCCTGGGTTCACGCCATTCTCCTGCCTCAGCCTCCCGAGTAGCTGGGACTACAGGCGCCCGCCACCGCGCCCGGCTAGTTTTTTGTATTTTTTAGTAGAGACGGGGTTTCACCGTGTTAGCCAGGATGGTCTCGATCTCCTGACCTCGTGATCCGCCCATCTCGGCCTCCCAAAGTGCTGGGATTACAGGCTTGAGCCACCGCGCCCGGCCCTTTTTTTGTTTTTCTCTGCTGTCTGCCATGTATATACTATTTTATTTACTCCCCTATTGATACTTAGATGCTTCCAACTCTTTGATATATAGCTATGTTGTGATGAACATCTACTTAACTGTCTCTTTGGGTGACTATGTGAGACTTTTTCTGCCTACATTTATTTTCATAAGTATTCTCAAATTGCTCTCTAGGCTGGCAGTATAATCCCCACCAGTTATGTGAGCAAAACAAGTTTTTATTTTCTCACATCCTAGGCAGTATCTGATATTGTCTAACCTAAATGTTTTTGCCAATATGATAGGTATAAAGCGAGATCTCATTGTTGTTTGCATTTGTATTTATCTGATTACTGCTAAAGCTGACATCTCCTTATATGCTAACAAGCCATTGAAGTGTCCCCATCTGTGATTGCCTATTAATTTTTGTCAATTTAAAAAATTGGATTTCTTCAACGAATTAACAATTCTTACATATGGAAACTACTATAACTCAACATTTTAAAGATATTATCTCTCTTTTATTCCTAATAATTTCCTGGTTTTAAGTTTTAATCGTGAATCCATCTGGAGCTTATTTTTGGACGCAGTGTTTGCCATGGATCTGCTTTTATTGTTTTTCCATATAACAGGCCCACCTAATAAATATTCTTTTCTTTCACTATCTGGTCCTTAAGCCTACTGTTTAATGTAGGGCCCTGCTGGGGGGCTCCAGCATGTTCCATTACTCACGTATCCGTTCTCATGCAAGTGTCACGCTATTTTAATGACTACTGCTTTGTTATGTCACTAAATATATGGCGGGACACATCTCTCCTCTTTGAGAATTGTCTTAGTTATACAGGGCTTTTATTCTATAATGAAATATAGAATCACTGTACAATTCTCCAAAAGTTCTGTTAGGATTCTGATCCCAATATATTAGGCATATATATTGATTTGGGTAGAAGTGACACCTTGACCATATTAAATATTCCCAGCCAGGAAAATGGTATGTCTCCCATTTACTCGGGCCTCCTTTTAAGATATTTAAGAGAATTTTAAACATTTTCCCACAAAGGCCAAGGGCATTTTTGCGAGTGTAATCTCTGGATGGTTATACTTTTACTGATATTGTAAATATCTTTATTTGAGACGGAGTCTGGCTCTGTCGCCCAGGCTGGAGTGCAGTGGCGTGATCTCGGCTCACTGCAAGCTCCACCTTCCGGGTTCACGCCATTCTCCTGCCTCAGCCTCCCGAGTAGCTGGGACTACAGGCGCCCGCCACCACGCCCGGCTAATTTTTTGTATTTTTAGTAGAGATGGCGTTTCACCATTCACAGGATGGTCTCGATCTCCTGACCTTGTGATCCGCCCGCCTCGGCCTCCCAAAGTGCTGGGATTACAGGAGTGAGCCACCGCGCCCGGCCATAGATATCTTGTATTGCAGAGCCAATGCTCATATAAAGGACCATTACTTATTTTTGTACTGGATTTTGAATACGATGACCTTGCTGGACTCTCAACACTTTTCTTTGTGTTCAGTTCGTTGATTCCCTTGGGTCTTCCATTTAAATGGTCATATCCTCTGCTCTTTGAGGAGCTAACACTCGGGCCGGGCAGCCTCCGGATGCATCTGTTCCTGCCTGGCAGCGCGCCCCGGGCCCCAGCCTTCTCCACCCGCGCTCCCGCCAGGTGCACCGCCGTGCCCCGGCCAATGGCAGCGCGGACTAGCCGGGCCGGGCTTGGAGGGACCAATCCCGCCGCTGCCGCCTCCCCTCGCCGCCAACTCGGGAACGGGAGCAGGAGGCCATTGGAAAACTTTGGGCAAGATGGCCCGGCGGTGATTTCCGCGCCCGTCTCTCCTGCGCCCGGCCTCTGCGCCGCAGGCCCAGCTCCCAAGCCTCGCACGTGCTGCAGCCCCGGCCCGGCCCCGGCCCCCACTGCCCATGGCGGTGGCCGAGCTGTACACGCAGGTAGGAGGGTCCGCTGGGCTCCCGGGAGCGCTGTGGGGGAGCCGGCCCTGCTAACGCTGACTCGACCTGGCGCCCGGGCCACACCTGCGCACCTGACACGGCAGGGCGGGCGGGCGCGCGCTGGGGGCCGCGGAGGGGCCGCGGGGACCAGGGGCGCGAGCGAGCGAGCGTCGCCCCTCTAGGGCCCCGACGTACTCCGTCTCTGCCCGCGGGTAAGCCCCCTCCTGGCTCCGCCCCGCCTGGGTGCCCTGCGGGTGGGAAGACCCTGTGGGAGGGGCCGCCTCCGCCGCTCCTGCCTCGGGGCCTAGAATCCCCAATCCCCAGGGGTCGCGCGTGCGTCCCCATCTCCCGGGACTGGAGCGCCTCGGCCCCTTCCTCCCACACCACGGGTGGAATCAGAGTTGCCCATGCGGACGTAGAAGCTGAGACGCCGGCGAGTCTCCTGGGACCCCCTTGAACGAGTTGACACAGAAGCTTATGGCAGCAGTGTTCGGGCTGCTTTCTAGAATTCTGTGCCTTCAAAGTGCGTGAACGTGCATGTAGGCTCATCAGATGCCTAAAGCTGAAGCAGCCTGGGTCACAGGCTTGAGGGCACTGCAGTGGCACCAAGCGCTTGGGGAGCCCAGGGGCCACGAGCACAAAAAAAAAAGCTGCAGTCGTAGGCTCTTTGCCTAACATCCGTACTGTTCGCAACAGTACAAACACTACAGTTTCTAAAGCGCCTTTCCTATACCCTGACTCTGGGAAACACTAGAGCATTCCTCAGAAACTTCCTTTCTGCTGGCTAGGGCTCCACCTCTTACCTCGGAAGGGCAGCGTTCCCTCTGAGATGGGCTTGGGTAATTATTTGGATAAAGAGTGTGACAGTGTTAGCACTTTTGAAAAAAAAAAAAAAATCCGTTTGAATAGCCATAAAGCCTGATCCTCCTATACACCAGTGGAGAAATTTAGAGACCTCAGTATTCAGACGAGTGGGACTAGAATCCATCCATTTCCCCGGACATATGCTCTAGCTTTCTACTTTAAAAGATGCTTTTGCTGTAGATAGAAAAGATAGTCATGAAAATAATCCTGTTTCAATGGTTTAAGCAAACGTTTTTGTTCTACTTTGATTACTTAGTAACAGTCTGGACACAAAGCAACCAAACTGTAGTTTCTCCTCTATTGCATCTCCATTAACTGGAGTTCTAAATGGACAGTGTTTGAATTGCCCTAGTTTTGTTCTAGAATGTTTTAACCAGTGAGAGTGTGAGCCCTCAGAGAGCCGACAGCGCTTCTTCAGCCTTCAGTTTACTGGAAGTGAAAGAAAAGTCTTGGACTAGTCTTAGACTATACTTTAGAGGACACAGAAAAATGCTGCTGCGGAACCTGTTTGAGGTGAGGGTATTTCCAGAAGCAGAAGCACACAGGTGCAAGTGCCCCATCCTCAGGTGCCTCAAACCTCAAATATTTATTAAATGTCTAGTAAGTACCAGGCACAACGTAGGAAAGCTGACAGGAAGGAGTTTAAAGGTACAAGCTTGAAGGGAATGAGAATCTGAGAATCCCAGAGACTGACGCAGCCCAATGGCCATCCCCACCGACCTTGTGTCCAGGTGGACACCTGTGTGCCTAGGCTGCCACCGCCCTTCCTGGTAGGCAGTTAGCCCCCATTTTGTCTGTTCCAGAGGTGGGAAGGGGACGGCCCTGGCAGCCAGAGAACGAGGTCGGGGCTTTATTCCCCAGTGTGGGTTTTGAGTGGGGGCTGGCAGGATCAAGGGTGGTGTGCTAGGACTGTTAGATTTGTTATGTATGCCAGCAGCGCCCTTGGGCTGTGGAGGAGAGGGGCTGGGGTCACGTAGCTGAATTCTCAGGTCATTCCAGCTGTTAGAAGATCATTAGAGCTGCAGTGTTGGCCATGGAGGGTGGAGGCAGGTGAGACTGAGAGGCCGGACTGGGGAGTGGGGTGGGGGTTGGAGGGACCAGCCAAGGATGACATTTGAGGTCAGAGTCTGTATGAGAGAGAGCAAGGTGGTGCTCTTGAGTGAATGAAGGATGTGGCCTGAGGAGGAAATATTTCTTAGAAAAGTCATCAGGCAAGTTCTGTATGTGCAGGGGTTGAAGGGGTGAGGGGCTTCCAAGGGAAGGTGGCTTGCAGAGTGGGAGGTGTCAGAGGGAGGGGATGGGCCCTGCCAAGGGTCTTCTGCCCAGAGGTGGTCACTGAACCAACAAGACACTGAGGGCCGCACCAAGGTGGGAGAAGGCAGACAGAGAAGAGGGCCAGGGACAGACCAGCGGGAAATGCATCTGTGCAAGGAGTGAGAGGAAGCAGAAGGGCTGAGATGGAGCCAACCAGAGGAGGAGCAAACAGGGTTGCTGGGAGGCACCCTGTAGGAACAGGGAAGAGGGAACTCCAGGAGAAGTCTTGGTGAGGGCAGCAGTCGCTGCCAGGTGAGGTGTAAAATCATCCATCGCTTTTCAAAAGCTACAGGGGCCATGCCTTAGAAATGTTCAGAGCAGCAGTTCCCCTATTTGAAATCTCTCTAAGAAGAGCTGGTCTGGCTTTCTCTGCTCAACCACCTCTAGAGGCTCCCATTGCATTCAGACTCACTGACCAGCCACGAGGTCCTGCCTGTCTCCCTGCCGTCACCTGGACTCACGCTCTGCCAAACTCCTTGCCATTCCCTCAATGCCTTGCCAGCACGTCGCCACTGCGTACTTTGGTGCACAGAACTCCACCTGTCCGAGGCTCTGTCTGTCACCTTTGCCCACGGCACCTGCACCTTCCACCTTCAATTTGTGCAGAACCTCTTCTGAGAAAGCCTCTGCAGCCAGCCCCTCCACATGGTGCCTTCCATATTGCCTGTTAACAGCTCGTGAACCCTCTGTCTCCCCCATTGACCAAGAACTTTCAGTGAGCAGGGGACAGTGGGGGCTTCGTAAGTGTTTGTTGTGCACCTGTGTGCATGACTGAACGTTTCTGCTTACAGAAATAGCTAGGACCATGGAGACGATGATATGGATGGTGGTTATTTTTATTTCTATGTACCAGATGCCATCCTCAGAGTTTCATGTGCCCTCTCTTGTTTAATCTGAATAAACAACTCTGTGTGTTAGATGATCTCACACTTTCAGAAATGGCTCGGGTCAAGTAAGTTGCTAAGGTAACATACAAGTGATGGAGCCAGAGGTGAAAACCTATGTTCTTAGTGTCTCTCACCACCACCACCTTCGTTCAACCGCCTTTATTGTCTTCCTCTTCTTCAAGGGATCTGACCTTTTCCCCACACACAGTGGGCTTGTGGGAAGTTCATCCACTTTCTAGCTACCTCTCCTGACACCTGCTTTTTTATATTATTCCTTATAATAACTAAATTGGAACCAATTCCCGTGTCCAGCGAGAGGGGGAAAGTTGAGTAAATTATGGAAGACTCACATGATAAAACAGCACGAAGCCATTAAAAGTACTATTTCTGAAGAGTTCCTAACATGAAAACATGGTTATGTGAAAAATGGGGCACAACAATTGTATATACTGTATGAGGATAAACATAAAATATGCAAACAAAGGAAAAAGACCACATATATCACTGCCTAAAGATTGGACGGTCTTTTTTTCTAGTAGCTGCAGAGAAGTCAACAAGGATGAAGGCTGGGGATGGGTCGTTAGGTTTGGCCACTAGGTTTGGTCCCCGGCATCGTTTCTGTTTAGGTAGAACTGTGAAGGGGAAAGGGAGACCCTGACATGACCCGCTAAAGGGAGGAAACTGGCAGAGGACTGCGGTCTGAAGATGTAAGAAAGGCACCAGGCACGGGTTAACCTTGGAAAGGAGTGAGCGCCCGAGGCCGCAGTGGCAGGAGTTGAAGGCACAGAGATACTGACAGAGAAGGAAGACAGCCCAGAGAGCGTGGCAGCTGCTCAGGAGGAAGGGTGGGTAGGACAGAGAGTGACAGTGCCACCAACCTTTTCTCTGACGGCATCATTTGAGACCCTCAGCATCCAGGCCACCTTCCTCTGGGTGAATTTTCACACCTTGATGCCCATTTTAGTGGCACTGTTCTCTAGCCGTGGTCTACTCAGCCATGAGTACGGTGCAACTTCTTGTGAGCATCCCTGAGTGCATCCTGGCATTATGTTAGTACTTTCAGCAGAGCTGGTACATGCTCGGCCCCTGGTGGGTCAAATCAAGTCCTGGTCCTGCCCCTTACGAACTGAGTGATACTGGGCAAGTTACTTAACCTGAGTTTCCACACCAGTACAATGGACTGAATCGTGCTTACCAGCTGAGGAGGTCACTATGAAGATTCATGCGTGTAAAATCCTTAGCACAACACCTGACACATAATGCTTAATAAAGGTTACTCGAATACGGATGCTATCATAATACAGTTGATTTTTTTTTTTTTTACCTAAATACAGACTTTACATTTATCCCTATAAAATTTTCCATTTTATTTAGCGCCCAGCGTTTCTGAAGCTTGTAAAAACCTTTTGAATCTTGATCATCTTTAGCTAATCAATCATTTCATCTGCTTATTTGATACATGTGTTTTGTTTTTTCATCTACGATACTGGTGAAAGCGTTGAATGAAAGGGGAGGCAGTAGAGCTCTGTGGCATGCCTCTGGAGACCTTTTTGTTTTTCTAAAGGTTGCTCTTTGCTCATTAATTAGAACTCAGGTTATGACTGTTTAGTGACAGATTCCCTACAGTCATTCCACCATCTGTTTCTTTCACTTGTGCAAGAGGAACTCACAAATATCTTCGAAGTCTGCTGAAACTGAGATGTGCAAGGTCAAAAGAAGTGTCTTGACTAGCAGTCCAGGGCCCCTGTCTAAAATGAGGTCAAAGTTCAGTGTAATGATTTTTTTTTTTTTTACTTTGGCTAATTCTAAATAGTTTTTAGACTTTTATATATCATTAACAACTCTGGAAAATTAAATGTATCCATTGTATTATGTATGGGTAGTTCAAAGAGAAAAAAAGGGATGAAAAGACTGAAATCCTAAGTTTAGTCTTTA